TGGATTTGAAATACATTTTGCAGGTTGGGCACGATGGCTCACACCTGTAATCCCAACACATCAGGAGGTCGAGGCAGGTGGACTGCATGAGTCCAGGAGTTCAAGATCAGCCTGGGCAACATGACGAAACTCCATCTCTACAAAAAATTTAAAAAATTAGCTCAGGGTGGTGGCATGCACCTGTAGTCCCAGCTACTTATGAGGCTGAGATGGGAGGATCACCTGAGCCTGGGAGGCAGACGTGGCAGTGAGCTGAGACTGTGGTACTGAATTCTAGCTTGAGTGACAGATCAAGACCCTGTCTCAAAAAAAAAAAAAAAAAAAAAAAACCATCATGGAAATGGAAATTAGTATTACTTAGTGACGTGGGAGCTGGATGAGGGAAGAATCTGTTTCTGGCTTCGAAAAATGTGTGAATAATGGCATCACTTACAAACATGGGGAATAAAGGAGAAAAGGCAGGTTTGGGGCTAAGACCAGTGAAATGTGTCAGGGAGGAACGCTCACTCAGTGTGCAAACACACCGAGTCTGAGGCGGCCACAGGACACCCAGACAGAGTTGATGACTTGCATAGATGGGCCTGTAGATAGAAAAGACCAAGACTGCGATGAGATTCGGTGTTACAAGAGAAGAGATGGAAACTAAGCCCACAGCAAATGAGATCATTCATCCAAGTGTTACAGTGAGGAGGAGAGAGAAACAGATTCCTGAAGAAATAAAGCCAAAGTGAGGAGGAGATGCCCTGAAAATAGGGGGACCAAAGAGGAAAATCAGAAAAATTATGGGGTTAGGGAAGAAGGCACGGTCAGCTGGGCTCAGTGGCTCATGCCTGTAATCCTAGAACTTTGGGAGGCCAAGGTGGATGAATCACTTGAGGTCAGGAGTTCTAGAATAGCCTGGCCAACATGGCGAAACCCTGTCTCTACTAAAATTACAAAAAAAATTAGCCGGGTATGGTGGTGCATGCCTATGATCCCAGACACTTGGGAGGCTGAGGCAGGAGAATAATGTCAAAAGTCACAGAGGAGTAAGAGAAAGGAAATTGGTAGAAAGTCTCTCATTGCATTTGACAAGTAGGAGCTACAGTGCTTTAGAATAAAAGTTTCAGTGGGGAGGCTGGGGAAGAAGCATGGGCTGAAGCGTGCATAGCGGGAAGGGTGGAGAGACAAATGACACAGTGCATTCTTTTAAGCCTGTGTGTACCTGTGAATAGGTGTAGGTAAGAAATGCCTATCTATGTAGGTAAGAAAGGAAGCGGGGGCTGGGTGAGATATAAGGGTTGAGACAAAAGAGAGCGAACAACATTTATACAAAAGGGAAGAAGTCATGAGACAGAAAGAGGCTGAAAACAGATGAAGAGTGGTGATGACGAAGAACAGAGCCCATGAGGAGAATGGGGACAAAAGATTCGCCTAGGCCGGGGGGAGGGGTGGCTTCTCTCCTGGGACTTTAGGGAAGGATGGGCGCAAATGAAAGTGAGTTTCCAGGTGACAGAACATGAAGCTGAGGTGGTGTTTCCTGGTTTTTAAAATGTTTCTCTGTAGAATTGAAGGCAGGACAGTATTGATGAGGGGCCCTGAGAGATGGTTTACTTGGTGCAGAGCCAGAGTAGAGTAGCAGTAGGGCTGATGAGGGCATGAGGACAGCAAGGCAGCCCCAGGCCCATTTAACACTGGAGTCCACCCAAGGCACACGCTCATTTGCCCAAAGGGCAGAGAAGATGAGTACTAATTTTTCCAAAGTTGGAGCTTCACAAAGTGGTATAATTAAAAAGTCCACCGAATTCTTTTTTAAATATAAAAACAGCAAGAAAGTTATTAGACAGGTTACAGGATGAAGTAATATACTACACTGCATTTTTTAATCAAAATTTTAATACATTTCCAGCTTCACAATACATGAAAAAGTCAACTAAAGATCCTGCTAAAGGCCAGGCAGGGCGGCGTGTGCCTGTAGTCCCAGCTACTCAGGAGGCTGAGGCAGGAGAATTGCTTGAACCTAGGAGGCGGGGGTTGCAGTGAGCCGAGATCGTGCCACTACACTCCAGCCTAGGCAAGAGAGCGAGACTCTGTCTCTACAAACAAACAAACAAAAAGATTCTGCTGAAGTCAAAGAGTAGGTACAGTGGGAATAAGCAAGCAAAAGCTGGAACTGGAATGACAGAAAGTAGCCCTCGAGGTAGCAGAGTTTCAGATTTCAGGGGTGAAGATGACTAAAGGTCAATGTCAGTGGAGCTGAACAGGTCTAGGAACTCTAGTGAAATGAGTCACAGTTCTTTCAGAGACATGAAGTCACCCAGAATAAGGGAGATGGGAAGGAGAGGGCAAGGAGAAAGACAGTGAGTGACTGAAGTCAGGAAGAGGCTCTAGGGCGGTATGGGGATGTGTGGGCCAGCACAAGCCTTGGAAGAGATCATTGCCATTTGCAGGCTGAAGCGCACTGGCTCAGACTAGAAGATCCTGTGGTTACATAGGACGCAAGAACGAGCAGTCTCCATCTGAGAGATCCGGAGAACATGACTTACTAGGGAGGTAAGTGTGGGGAGGGAAGGGGCAAAGAAGAACACTAGGGAAAACATGCACTTAGGGCTGCTCCCAGCAAAGCACAGCTACAGAAGACACCCACTGTGTGGCCAGCAAGAGGGAAGCTCCATTCTTTCAAGGCTAAGTGCTTTGCTTTTTTGTTTTTTCTTTTTTGTTTTTTATTGTTTTATTTTGAGACAAAGGAGTCTTGATCACCCAGGTTGGAGTGCAATGATGCGATCAGCTCACTGCAACCTCCACCTCCCAGGTTCAAGTAATTCTCCTGCCTCAGGCTCCCAAGCAGCTGGGATTACAGGTGCCCACCAACACGCCCGGCTGATTTTTGTATTTTTAGTAGAGACAGGGTTTCACCATGTTGGTCAGGCTGGTCTCAAACTCCTGAACTTGTGATCTGCCCACCTCGGCCTCCCAAAGAGCTAGGATTACAGGCGTGAGCCACCGCCCCTGGCCAGCTAAGTGCTTTTCAATGAGAAGGCATACAGGATGAGCCTGGTCCCAATGATGATGGAGAGAGGCCTGATACTCACATTTTAAACAGAGTCTCCCTGCAGCCTTCAACTGCAGGTATAAAACCTAAGTCTAAAAGCTTAGGCGACAAATCATAAGAGATTTATTCATGTGTATACTTGAGGATAACTTAAGTTACAAATATTTTACTTTAAAATAAAGTGTCTCAATTGCAATTTAAAAAAAATTGTCAGCCGGGTATGTTGGCTCATGCCTGTAATCCCAGCATTTTGGGAGGCCAAGGCAGGTGGATCACTTGTGGTCAGGAATTCAAGACCGGCCTAGCTGAGATGGTAAAACAAGGGAACAACCAGAAACAAGCAAAAACCAGCACATGATCAATTTGATACTGTTTTTTAAGTCCCTTCTAACAAGGAGCCCTAAGAGAAAACCTATGTTTAGCCCACTAAAATCAAACACAGGGAAACACGCTGAAGCAGAAAAGAAGCCCAATTTAATATCTGAATAAGCTGCATGAATCAGAACGAAAAATAAAATCACTGCATGATGAATACACCGAAGAACTCTAATATTATAATTGTGCACACAAGCGTATGTGTGTGTGTGGGTGTGTGTGGCCACTCTATGAGGATAGTTATGGGACTCATTTCAAATTTCCTTAAAATAACAAAAATATATTTTAATATACCTCTTCAATTTTCCACAGCAAAATACATCCTCCCAGCCAGTGTAAATGTATTATTTACATCCTAATCTAAATGTCCAACCGCAAGGGAACTTATGTAAAAGAATGGTATACCCAAAGCCACTGTCAAAGCAATTAAAAATTGTGTTTATAGTAAGAAAATGTTTACAATGTACTGCTAAAAGCTACAAATGAGTATGTCAAAGGTTCTAATTTTCAATTTAAAATGTTTATTTTTAAGAACTCCAAAGAATATAAACCCAAGTTACGATTTATTTTTAAATAAGTTTGTTCCTTATGCTTTTCTATTTTTTGTAAGTTTTCTACAGTGACTACATACTACTCTTGTAACTTGGGGAAGGAAAAAACCAAACTACACCAATAACTATTTTAAGTAATACTTACAAAGGCCATGTAGTAAGATGAAAAGGAAATATATATGGATACTATATACACATATATAATTACAATTATTTTAAAGAAAAATTGTGCATAAGAAAAACCGATTGGTGGGAAATACATAAAAATTAATGGTGCCTATGTTTAAAGGATGAAATAATTACCCATTATTTTTCCTTCTACTACTCTAAACCTTTAAATTCTTTTTAAATAATGTGTATCATGTAAATAGGAAAAAATTACTGGATTTATCAACAATGACCCCAAGCCCTCCTTTTCACTACATCCTGCCTGCTAAAACAAACCAAAAAATACACATGCACACAAACCCATAAGTACTTACATGGGCTTACATCTCTGTATCTGTTTCGATTTCTGTTTTCTGGAAACTTGGCCACTCTATGAGGATAGTCATGGGACTCATTTCGAATTTCCTTAAAATAACAAAAATATATTTTAATATCCCTCTTCAATTTTCCACAGCAAAGCATATCTTCCCAGCCAGTGTAAAATAACATTAAGGACTTATGATACGCCAAGTACTATGCACAGCACATTCTCTACATCACCTCATTTAACCCTCACAATACTAATGGAAACATTTTCTTCCCCATTTTATCTGTGAGGGATGCAAGACTTTCAGAAGTTAAAAAATCCAAAGGTCCCACAGCCTCCAGGATTGACCCAAGGTCCTTCATATGCCAGTCTGTGCTCTACATCTGTTTATTTACTGCTAATTAGGCTCTATTCAACACCTACAAGCAAGTATCAAACACTTTATGAAGCAGAATCAATGCAAGGGAGGTATCTATGATCAGCCACATCATATTCAAATTTTGACTAAAACTCATAACATCTACCTAAATTTTGGGGTTATACCTTTAAAAAATTTATTTCTTCATCTTCCTGCTACTTGTTACTTCATTTTGAACTCAGAAATATCCTCAAATATTATTTCTATCATGTTTGTCATTACTTCTCCTTCAAAATAAATTATTTCTAGAGCCATAAATGTTCAGTAACAGGCCGGGCATGGTGGCTCACACCTGTAATCCCAACACTTTGTGAGGCCAGGTGGGCGGATCACCTGAGGTCAGGAGTTCGAGACCAGCCTGGTCAACGTTGTGAAACCCCAGCTCTATTAAAAATATAAAAATTAGGCTGGGCACGGTGGCTCATGCCTGTAATCCCAGCACTTTGGTAGGCTGAGGCAGGTGGATCACAAGGTCAAGAGTTCAAGACCAGCTTGGCCAAGATGGTGAAATCCCATCTCCACTAAAAATACAAAAATTAGCCACATGTGGTGGCAGATGCCTGTGATCCCAGCTACTTGGGAGGCTGAGGCAGAGAACTGCTTGAACCCGGGAGGCGGAGGTTGCAGTGAGTTGAGATTGCACCACTGTACTCCAGTCTGGGTGACAGAGCAAGACTCCGTCTCAAAAAAAAACAAAAACAAAAACACAAAAACAAAACACAAAAATGAGCCAGGTGTAGCGGCAAGTGCCTATAATCCCTGCTACTTGGGAAGCTGAGGCATGAGAATCGCTTAAATTCAGGAAGCAGAGGCTGCAGTGGGCCGAGATGGCACCACTGCAACAACCAGCAGGCCTGAGGCTCATCCTAGGTGCTTTCAGGTTTTCTGCATTTCAGTGTGGAAGACATTCTGTAAGGCTATGTCCACACTATGCTCTCACTACTGATGTATCCATTATGGCCAGGTTTGATCTCCCAGGAAACAGTGTTCCAAGAATTCAAGTAAAAACAGAAGTGTTACAAAAAACAAACAAAAGAAAAGCATGCTTTAACAGTAAAAAGTAGATTGTGCTTTTGCTCACACTGTCACATGTAAGAAAAAGCATTTTAAAAGTTAGGTGCCATTTTGTTTTTTTTGTTTTTATAGAGACAAGGTGTCACTTTTTGCCCAGGCTGGTCTCAAACGCCTGGGCTCCAGTGATCTGCCTGCATTTGCTTGCCCTTGAGACAGTATCAAATTTTAGTTACTACATCTTTGTAATCTATCAATATATCTACAAGGCAAGTTGTCCCCTGTTTATTCTCCCCAATTGCCCTGTAGTTCATGATATTTCAATTAACTTTGTAGTTTTCTTCAGAAAGGTATGCTAAAGGTTAGCATAAATGTATCATAAAGGTTTGTTGTCAGAAACAATAGGCTTTGCTGCTACTGCAAATGGGATTTTTAAAAAAATCTATTGGCCATTACTAGGGTATAGGAAAGATACTGATTTGCGGGGAGGTGAGGCTTAAAACGACAGGCAAAGAAGGTTGGACTCCCTTCCCTTCTTCCACTTCTGTGATAACACACACCCATTTTCCACACTCACGGTCATCTGTCAGGTGCAGATTCCTATTTTTAGCCTAGAGAAACACACTTCTTTGTATGCACTATACAAAAGAGGGTAGGGTCCCCAGCATAGTGGTAGGGAGATTTAAAATTTACAAAACACAATATAACAGCCAAGTTCTTGGGGTTAAGAAATACATTCACAACATAAATACATTTTATTTTCTCAGCTAATAAGAAGATCTCTTGCAGTGAGTCTATTCTTTCAAATCTCCAATATTAATCATTTGTTCTATTTACTTTATAAAAAAATTTCAGTGAACTTAGAAGAACCAATATTTCAAAAAGCAGCTCCCAGAGGTGCATATTAGCTGTTTATTCCAATATCCTTTCTTTCTTTCTTTTTTTTTTTTTTTTTTGAGGCTGAGTCTCACTCTGTTTCCCAGGCTGGAGTGCAGCAGCACAATCTTAGCTTATACTGCAACCTCCGCCTCCCAGGTTCAAGAGATTCTCCTACCTCAGCCGCCCAGGTAGCTAGAATTACCGGCATGCACCACCATGCCAGGCAAATTTCTATATTTCTAGTAGGGACGGGGTTTCACTGTGTTGGCCAGGCTGGTCTCGAACTCCTGATCTTAAGTGATCTGCCCACCTCAGCCTCCCAAGGTGCTGGGATTATAGGCATGAGCCACAGCACCCAGCCCCAGTCAATATCCTTTCTTTCTTTCTGAAGGTATCTGCTTTTGTTTTCTGACCACAGTGAGCCCAAGTGAAAATCTATTTTCTCGAGCCTCTATGGTCCTGTGACAGTCTGGCCAATGGGAATAAGCAGAAACTACTGGGTTGGGCTGCAGGAAAATGTTGACAAAGAGGACTGGCTCCAGGTACCTTTGCTCTTCCAACTGCTGCCTGCCTGGAACATAGGTTTTGCTGTAGGGGGTTAGGGGTGGGAATAGGCAGGAGCCATCCAGTGAGAACAAGGTAAAATGCACATTCAGAGGAAAGCTAAGCAGAAATACCAGCATTGGGTCCTGAGTGGCATCAAGGAGCCACAGTAACAGCCCCTCTCCAGAATTCATTATCATATGAGAAACATAAACTCCTATTTTGTTAAATCAGCTACTGATTAATTTTTTTTCCCAAGTAGCTAAATCACATCTCTAATATACACAGCATAACCAAATCTCAACAACCAGATCTGACACTGATGAGGCATTTTCAGGAATACCCAAGACACAAAAATAAAAAATTTTAGCTAGGCACGGTGGCTAACACCTGTAATCCCAGCACTGGGAGGCCGAGGCAGGCGGATGATCATGAGGTCAGGAGACCAAGAACATCCTGGCCAACGTGATGAAACCACATCTCTACTAAAAATATAAAAATTAGCCAGGCGTGGTCGTGCACACCTGTAGTCTCAGCTGCTTGGGAGGCTAAGCAGAAGGATTGCTTGAACCCAGGAGGTGGAGGTTGCAGTGAGCTGAGATTGCATCACTGCACTCTAGCCTGGTGACACAGTGAGACTCCATCTCAAAAAAATAAATTAAATAAATAATTTTATAAGCACATTGCATAAACAATAAAATATATGATCTCTGTCTAAATGGCATTCGGAAAGTAGACAGTTGAGCTATTCGCTAGGTCTATCACATAAGGCAAAGTCAGTTCTACTTATGTTCTGGTGCTAAAACTTTCCCCTTTTATTGCAGAGAAATTCCATGAACAGTAGCCATAAATACTACATCAAGAATGTTTCCGTCTGGGCAGATCTTTGGGAGATCTGCTTTGGGGGGCCCAAGTGGAAGGATCACTTAGGGCTAGGAGGTCAGCCTGAGCAACATAGTGAAACCCCAGCTTTACAAAAAGTTTCTTAATTAGCCAGGCATGACAATGTGCACGTGTAATCCCAGCTTCTTGGGAGGCAGAAGCAGAATTGCTCGAACCCAGGAGTTCAAGACCGCAGTGAGCCAGGATCCTGCCACTGCACTCCAGCCTGAGCTATAGAATGAGGCCCTGTCTAAAACAAAAAAAAAGAATGTTTCCCATCAGCAGTGAAACCTGTTAATCCAAGGTTTCTCAGCCTCAACACTACTGACATTTTAGGCTAGCTATTTTCAGTGGGAGGGTAGGGGGGCTGTCGTGTGTATTGCAGGATGTTTGGCAGCAGCATCCCTGGCCTCTACTCACTAGATATTAGCGGCACCCCTCCCTGTATCTGTAACAACCAAAAATCTCTCCAGACATTGCCAAATGTCCTTCACCAGCAAAAATCCATCACAAACATATCCCTGAACAACACACAGATGAGAACCACTGTTATTTAATACCAAAGCACACCTTTAATCAAAACTAGATCTAAATGGCAAGGATCTTTGCTTTAAAGTATAATTTAACCAAAAATTTTAAATCTAATTATTTGTAATACGATTTTTGCTCAAAAAGAGCAAGGAATAATTGAGTCACTAGACATTTCTTTCTTAGTGGCAATGATCCAAAATGTAGGCAACTCATAGTACAAAGATTTCTTTTACAGTTATTTACAATGTTGAAAGGCTTTAAATAAACTACATGTCTAATGACAAAAGGCTGGTTGAATAAATCGTGGTACAACCAATTGAATATCATGTAGCTTTTTTTTTTTGAGACAGAGTCTCGCTCTGTCACCCAGGCTAGGGTGCAGTGGCGCAATCTTGGTTCACTACAACCTCCACCCCTGGCGTTCAAGCGATTCTCCTGCCTCAGTCTCCTGAGTAGCTGGGATTACAGGCAGACACCACCACACTGGGCTAATTTTTGTATTTTCAGTAAAGATGGGGTTTCATCTCTACTTTTTCATCTCTATTTTAGTATAGATGATCTGCCTACCTCGGCCACCCAAAGTGCTGGGATTACAGGCGTAAGCCACCACGCCTGGCCCATGCAGCTATTTTAGTAACAGGCCCTCATACCAAATTGGTAGTAGCATTAACTCACAACCTCTTGGAAGGATAATATATGACATAAACAAAGGAATAACAAATCAGTAAACGGAACTGAGCTATTATTAATACATGTTATTTGGTAGGAAAAATCCACTTAGCTCCTTAACTGTATTTGCAATTTATACACACATGTGCATTGCCTACATTAAGACCACACACCACCTCTTTTTCCAAAGTAGTCTAATTTTCAGAACATTATGAAATGGTCCATTCTCATCAATGGCCTTATAGCTTATCTCCAGGCCCAAAGACTTTAAATTCTGAACATACCTACTCTCAATGTGTTTACTTTCTCCTACTACTTTGCCTCCTAATATTTTCATATAATATTTAATCCCTCTTGAAATTTATTTTGATATATATATGCATATACATACATCTATATGCACATATATATATATATATATATATATATATATATATATATCGCTTGAAATAAGGAACTAAACGGACTCTACTATAGAAGTAATTTTGCTGGGCTCAAATAATGCTGAATTGAAATGTAAGAGTAAGACTTTTCTATTCATCCAGCTACTCTTCATTTCATAAGGAGTAACTGTGCCTAAACCCTACTATTTAAATTGATGAATTCTCAAAAGTCTTAGGACTTCTGCTTAAGAAATTCCAAAAGT